AGGCCAAATAAATTAATTTAGTTTTTGGTTACAGAGTCAAGTTTCAGCTCTTGGTCCCCGCCATTTAATCCTTAGAATTATTTTATTTAGAAGAATTCTCTGCTTGTATCTTACTGTATTTGCTTGTGAAGCTGTGAGTAAATTGCTTAAACATGCGCTTCTGAACCATTTTCTGTCAACAACACTTACGCGGTAACTCAGTTATTTCCTGATTTACCTTAGGCCACTAACCCTCGTGTCTTTTTTTTTTTTTTTTTTTTTTTTTTTTTTGAGATATATACAAGAGTTGTTACATTCTTGTACAGCCACTAGTACGCGTAGCGTTTCGGGCAGGTCCTTAATCCTACGGTCCCTGGAATACGATCCCCGCCGCGAAGAATCGTTTTTTCATCTAAGTACACATTTTACTGTTGCGTTAAACAGAGGCTACAGTTAAGGAATTGCGCCCAGTAAATCCTCCCCGGCCAGGATACGAACCCATGACATAGCGCTCGCGGAACGCCAGGCGAGTGTCTTACCAATACACCACGGAGACTGTTTCCTCCGAGGCTATGGGTCCCCCTTCTTCCAGCCAGAGATACTATATCTATATAAATAAAAATGTTAATGTTCGTTTGTTCAAAATCGCTAATCTCCGAAAGTTCTTCACCGATTGCTTTGAAATTTTCACACAACGTTCCATTCGCATCCGAGCTGGTTTTTATATACATATTTTATAGATGTCACGACTGTGACGGAAAAAAACACGCTATTTTGAAATACTGTGTTTTTCATGTGAGGGAAATCTTCGAAACCACTTTACCAATTGCGTTGAAATTTTGACACAACGTTGCTTTTGCACAGGCGCGTGTTTTTATATACCTACTATATACATGCCTCACCTGTGACAGGAAAAAAACACATGCGTTTTGTGAAAAACAGCGCCATTTGTTAGACGTAAGAGCAACACATGCTGTAATCTCCGTAAGTTCTTCACCGATTCCTTTGATATTTTTACACAACGTTCCATTCTAATACGTGTGTGTTTTAAAATACCTACTATATAGATGCCACATCTGAGAAAGGTAATAACATGGTTTTCTGAAAAACAGCGCCATCTATTGCACGTAGGAGCAACACACACTTTATAATAAATATATAACGATTCTATTCAAATGTTTCCGATTGCATTGATATATTGAATTTTCATAGATTTCGATTTATTTTCATTTTGATTTAATTATTTTGAGACATTGCATTGGAATTGAGCTGTGTTGTTTACTGTGTTGTTTACCATACCGTTCATTTTGACACTATTGTTTATTATTTATTTTTTCATTGTTTTTCATTTCGTTATTTGAACTGTTCTTATTTTTCACTAATGGGAACATCAGATCATTTGATGTTCCTAATTTTCTGAGAACATCAGATTATTTGGGAATGGACCGGACGAAGGAATGGGGCATGGTGGGGAGGACTGGTGGACACTGGAAGGTTACTGTGGCTCAGTAACCCACATGCGTTGCTAAGCCACAGCAATGCGTGGCGGGTACAGCTAATATATATATATATATATATATATATATATATATATATATATATATATATATATATATATATATATATATATATATATATATATATACAACTTTAGAACACTTTCCCACCAGGAGACTCGAACCCTAGCCAGCACAGAAGCCTTCCAGCAACTGGCATAACAGGTACGCCTTAACCCTCTCCACCACCCGCTCAGACCCTTAAAAGAGATGGTAATTTCGGAGTATTCTAAAGTTGTATACTTAACTCTCGTGTTTAGGAGAGTTGTGCCATATATATATATATATATATATATATATATATATATATATATATATATATATATATATATATATATATATATATATATATATATATATATATATATTGGTCTATGTCGGTTATTGGTAGAGTAGGAGAGGTTATATCATTGATGACTACACATTGTTGTCTATCACTAAGATAGGATTGGATATAGTCCAGTGCATGGCCCTCGGATTCCATAATGATGGAGTTTACGTAAGAGGTAATTGTGATTAACAATATTAAAGGCCTTTCTCAGGTCAATGAAGAGTCCAATCGGAAACTCATTTTTGTCAAGGGCTGAGTAAATTATATCAAGGAGACTAATAATTGCATCGTTAGTACTCTTTTGGGAGCAGAAGCCAAACTGACAGGGGCTAAGTATGTCGAATTTTACGAGGTAGGAGTAGAGCTGTTTGTAGATAATTTTTTCAAATATTTTTGATAGTATGGGTAGGTTTGATATTGGTCTGTAATTGTTTATGTCTGCGGGATTACCTCCTTTATGAACTGGCGTTACTCTTGCTTTTTTAAGGATATCAGGGAAGGTATGACACTCAAGGGATTTGTTGAACAGCAGAGCTATAGGTGGTGCAAGGGCATGGGAGGCGCTCTTGTATACAATGGATGGGATTTCACTGATGTTCCCAGCTTTGGTTTTTAGTGAGTGTATGATGGACACAACATCTGCCGGGCTGACTGGTGAAAGGAGAAGAGAGTTTGGATAGCTGCCTGAGAGATTCATGTTAACATGTGTCTGAGTCTGGAATTTTACTGGCAAGGTTAGCACCAACCGATGAAATAAAGCTATTAAATTTATTTGTCATTTCTAAATCAGTTGCAGGTGTACAGCCATCCTTAGAGAATGTTATCTGGTTGTGGGAGTGTTGTTTAGTTCCTAGGATATTAGAGATGGTTTTCCATGTGCTTTTCATGTTGCCTTTTGCTTCTTTGAATCTATTCTCATAAAAGGAGAGTTTTGATTTTCTTATGATACTGGTAAGCATATCCCGAAAGGAATCCTCAGGGAAATAGCAGTTCGGTTATATAGACTACGTCTAGGTTACAGATGCAACTGGGAAATTAATGAACACAAATAAGGCTCTCTTCTGTTATGTTAGGGATTCTAATCATCATATTGATTGGTCTTCTAAAATAATCTTCCCTGCCTCTTCTCTACACTGACGCCGTCTTGCCGAATCGGCTCAGGAACACAACCTCCTCAACATGAACCTTAGTCCTGGCTTTGTTGCTGTTGACTCTTCCTTTTCACAGTACACAGTCAAATGTTCTAGCTATAACGAATTGAAAAGCTGTCCTACTTTTGCCTTATTCAAGAATAAAACCAAAAAGTACCTTATTTCATCTTCATAGTTTCCTACCTTGTTGTTTTAACTTGTACTGTATCTAGTGCTACCCAATCCCCCAATATATGTACCTAAGCCTTACAACTTTACCATTGTAATCATTGCTATCATCTGATATCATGGTTGTTATAATGAACGCATATTGTACTGCATTATACCTTGAAATAATCCTCATAATCCTACCTGGTGTTTTAACATTATACCTTGAAATAATCCTCAAATTATGCTACAATGTAACAGTTGATAACCCTCAAATTTTATTTTAATGTACCACAAATCTTTGTCGAATTTCCTTACAATGTTCCTGTTAACATTTTTTCAATTATGCTAGAAATTACCTTTTTAAAATTATGTGTTAGATTAAGGACCTGCCCGACACGCTACACCTGTTAGTGGCTTTACAAGAATGTAAACACATCAATGGTGTGTACTCTCATAAACCCAATGTACCTTCTTGTTTATATATAAATAAATAAATACAAATAAAACTTTCTAACGTGACCTAACGTAAGCATATAGTTTTTTTTCTCTTTCTTTTCCGTTCTTTCTTTCTCCTCACATTCTTACTCGCCCTTTCTTCCGTTCCTCCATTATTACACCCATCCCAGCTGTACCCATCTTCTTGTTCTTACAAGAAGAAGATGGGTACCCCTGCCCCTTCCTCCTACCTTCTTCTAGCAACTACCTCCTCTTCCCTTTACTCTTGGCATACTTATCTTGTTCCCATCGATCATGGGGAAGTGGGCTACTGCCCCGCTCCTGTGCCAGGTGAGTCCTCTACGGGCTCACCATAGCCCGTGCTACTTCGAACTTTTTGTTTCGAGTAGCTGAATCTTAAACAACAACAACGATCGTTGGGAAGGATAGTGCTTGACAGTGTTTGTGAGAGTGTCCAGCTGTTGAACGGTTTTCCATTAAACAGTTGAAGAGAAGGGGGCTGAGAACGCCTCCTTGCGGTGTACCGTTTTCATGTCTTTTGTATTCAGAGACTGTGTCATGAAGTTTTACTCCTGCTTCTCTGTTTGTGAGACAGTTCTTGGTCCAGGAGAGCAGGTTGCCTTTGACCGCTTTGTCGATGAGGTAAAGCAGCAGGACTCCCCCATAAATAGTGTCAAGCAATGTCCTCCCCCGCGATAGCTGCCACATAGTAAGGACTGACGGTTTAAATGCGCGCTCAGCACACAGTATGTCGCTCCACCACCAAACATCACAGTCACTCCAAACATCTTCCACTTACGGCAACTCCTGCCCGTGCGACCTCTTGGGTGGCTTAATCTTAATCAATCAAGCACAGTTAAGGATTTTGCGCCTTGTTAATCCTCCCCGGCCAGGATATGATCCCCTCGCAAGGCGCATGTCTTACCACTGCGCCACGGGAATATCCCAAATATTTCCCCGTGGCGCAGTCACCTGCTCTCGCAGTAGTAAAGCACTCGCCCGGCGCTTCGCGAGCGCTTTGGCCTGGGTTCGTATCCTGGCCGGGGAAGGTTGACTGGGCGCCAGTCCTTAACTGTAGCCTGTGTTCACCCAGCAGTGAATGGGTACCTGGTTGTTGAATGATTTGGCGGGTCGTATTCCAGGGAGAAATTCGGATTAAGGACCTGCCAGAAACACTATTCGTGCTGGTGGCTGTACAAGAATGTAACAACTGTTGTGTGTATAGATAAATAAATCAAATAAACTTATCCTGAATTTACCTGAGCGCCATAGACTCTAATGGCCTCGGCGAGGACCTAGGAAGCCAGCGGCTTGTCAAAGGTCCTTTCCATATGAAAATCAATAAATTATCCAGAAGAAGAGAAGAAGAGAACTCGCCTGACCAATGCCGCCATAGTTGAGGGCCTGGAGGGAGTTGGCGCGGTAGAAGGGCGGCTGCAGGATGCCGGCCGGGAAGGTGATGGAGTTGAACTCCGGCAAGTAGAAGGCGTTGACGATGGTGGGGGGAGACAGCCACTTGTCCCGCTGTGTCGGCTCACCAAAGTCCCCCAGCTCGTCAGCGCTCGTCCAGGTGCTGTTGGAGGCACTCACATGCTCGTTAGTAACACTAACACACACACACACACACACACACACACACACACACACACACACACACACACACACACACACACACACACTAACACACACACACACACACACACACACTAACACACACTAACACACACACACACTAACACACACACACACACACACACACACACACACACACACACACACACACACACACACACACACACACACACACACACACACACACACACACACACACAGGAGTCAGAGAAGGAAAAAGACTTGGGGGTTGATATCACGCCAGACCTGTCTCCTGCAGCACATATCAAGCGGATAACATCAGCGGCATATGCCAGGCTGGCCATTATACGAACGGCATTCAGAAACTTGTGTAAAGAATCATTCAGAACTTTGTATACCACATATGTCAGGCCAATCCTGGAGTATGCAGCCCCAGCATGGAGTCCATATCTAGTCAAGGATAAGACTAAACTGGAAAAGGTTCAAAGGTTTGCCACCAGACTAGTACCCGAGCTGAGAGGTATGAGCTACGAGGAGAGACTACGGGAATTAAACCTCACTTCGCTGGAAGACAGAAGAGTTAGGGGGGACATGATCACCACATTCAAGATTCTGAAGGGGATTGATAGGGTAGATAAAGACAGTCTATTTAACACAAGGGGAACACGCACAAGGGGACACAGGTGGAAACTGAGTGCCCAAATGAGCCACAGAGATATTAGAAAGAACTTTTTTAGTGTCAGAGTGGTTGACAAATGGAATGCATTAGGGGGTGATGTGGTGGAGGCTCACTCCATACACAGCTTCAAGTGTAGATATGACAGAGCCCGATAGGCTCAGGAATCTGTACACCTGTTGATTGACGGTTGAGAGGCGGGACCAAAGAGCCAGAGCTCAACCCCCGCAAACACAACTAGGTGAGTACACACACACACACACACACACACACAGTCTCTTGTGCCATTTACATGTACTAAACCTTGTTCCTAGATGCAAATCCTGATCTGAAACTCTAGACAGATGTAATAGGACCCATTATCACCACACCAGAAATAAATATCTCTTTGATATCCCCAGAGTCAAACTTAATCTGTGTAAACACTCTTAAGCAAATGAAGGGACCTGGTCTATGGAACTCCCTAACTAATGAATTGAAAAGCTGTCCAACCTACGCCTTATTCAAGAGTAAAACCAAAAAGTACCTAATTTCATCCTCATAGTTTTCTATCTAGTGATTTAAACTCTCACTGTAACTTGTGCTAACCACTCCCCCAATATATGTGCCTAAACCATACAATTTCACCGTTGTATTCAGTGCCATCATCTCATATCATGGTTGCTATGTTGAGTGCAAATTTTGCTACAATGTACCTAGAGATAATTCTCAAATTTTGCTACAATGTACCTAGAAATAATTCTCAAATTTTGCTACAATGTACCTGTTGATAATCCTCAAATTTTACTGATATGTACCTACTAATTTTTTTCTTCTAATTTTCTTACAATGTATCTGTTAAAAAAAATTTAATTTTGCTATAAATTACCTACTTAAATTTATGTTAGATTAAGGACCTGCCTGAAGGCTGTGCGTGTTATAGTGACTTTACAAGAATGTTAAAACATCAATGCTATGTACTCTCATAAACCCAATGTACCTTCTTGTATAAATAAATAAATAAATAAATAAATAAACATATCCTTTCAGTATGCAGTATACACATATACAGGTACATAAGAATTTACATAAGAACTTCAGAAGCAAAAGATTTTGTGCGAATATCATTCAAACACAAGCACCAGAGGCAGACATAAACAGAACAACATCAGCAGCATACGAGATGCCGGCAAACATTAGTACAGTATTTAAAAACCATAATTACACTCAAGACAATCTTTAAAGCCTATGAAAGAGTAATACTGGAATACGCAGCACCGGCCTGGAATACGAACCTCGTTTCGACCCATCCTCCGGTTTAGATAGCCAGGGGCCAGATTCACAAAAGCACTTACGCAAGCACTTACAAACCAGTACATCTTTTCTCAATCTTTGGCGGCTTTATTTCCAATTATTAAACAGTTAATGAGCTCCGAAGCCCCAGGAGGCTGTTTATAACAATAACAACTGATGAATGGCAAGTTTTCACGCTTGTAAACTGTTTAATAAATGTAACCAAAGCCGTCAAAGATTGAGGAAAGATATACACGTTCGTAAGTGCTTGCGTAAGTGCTTTCGTGAATCTGGCCCTTATCCAGCTGCTACGGGCTGCTCCCTGTGGGATGTGTAACGAAAAGGAGGCCTGGTCGAGGACTGGGCCGCGGGGACACTAAGCCCCGAAATCATCTCAAGATATACCTGGAGGTATTGTTACCCACAGAATACCTGAAGTATACCTGTATAGCACCTGTGGAGGGTTCTGCCAGTTCTTGTGATAAATTGGTCTAACAGGCTGATGCTTTTTATAATATTAGAGAAGAAAAACACACAACTAACCCACAAGAAAGGCCGAGGTGGATGGAACTATTGTCATTTTGGCTACAGGACAGAGGGGACATAGTCTAAACATACAAATTACCCATGTTTATCCTTAAAACAGATTGAGACATAATGTTTAGCGTGAGCAGCAACGAGAAGACATTCAGATGAGCCACAGAGATGTAAAAACAATTGACTAGTCATTATCTCAAGCGACATACATTTGAAAAGGCGGGAACCAAGAGATAGAGGGGAACCTATTCATATTCCGCTTGGTAAGAAAAGGTATGTACAACGAAGGAGATTTTCAGGGGAAAGCACCAAGCCATTACGAATATAAAGCCCTGGGAAGGGGGTCAGGATAAGGATTTGGGATGGGACGGGGGGAAAGGAATGGTTCCCAACCACTAAAAAGTCAAGTACAGTTACCAAGAAAATACAATAGTTGTTACCTGAGCTTGAGTGTGTTGAGGAAGTGGGCGTCGCTGGCCAGGTCCTCAAGGCCGCTGTAGAAGGACTCAAGCGCACTGGTGTTCCCGTACCAGTCCGGATAGGCAATAAACTTGGTGATGGCATCGGCCTTTTCAATAGCTTTGGGCTTAGTTTCTTCATCCATCCAGTCATTGATATCCAGAAGATCTTTGAAAGCTGAGCGGATGTCCTCGACCATCTCGCTGGCCTCGTCCTTGGCCTGCTGAGAGAAGTAGGTCTCCACGTACTTCGTCCCCACGGCCATGCCCATGAAATTGTTGGTTTCATCGGCGCAAGTCTTCCAGCGTGGCTCTTGCGCCGTGACGCCACTGGCTACCATCTCGTACTGGAAGGACGCCTCGCGCATGGCCAGGTTGGTATCGTCACCGCGGGCCTTCACATACCTCCACAGTATGTAATTGGACACTGTACGAGCGCTCGTTGACGCCACCAGAGCTGCCAGCTTCTTCAGGTACTCGATCTCTTGGACGATCACCCTGGTGGTGTCGTCGATGACAATATCCGTCGAGCCGAAGACTGTGGAGAGCAGCTTTACCCAGTCCAGGTCCGATCCTGCGGTTAACTGGCTGAGCTCCGACACTGTCATGGGGTTGTACATGCGATTGATGTCTCTTCTGTCCTCCGCTGGGGAAGTGATGTTGGCCAGAGCCATTTCGAAGTCAAGGACATCAGAAACCTGAGCATCAATGGCGCTTGCGTTTTGTGCCAAAGCTTCGGCTATGATGGAAGCTGTGGTAGCCATGTAGGTCTTATAAGCTGTGATTCTCGTCTCATAGTTCAAGGGCGTTGTGAGCACTGATCGAGGCATGCCCAGAGACGTCTGGTCAATGTATATAGCTGTCACGTCCGTGTTTTTCTCGTCAGCGTACACCCAAACATTTATCAAATAATCTGCATTGAGCTGACGCTTGCTCTCGGCGACGGAGTTCTGCCAGTCAAATGATTCTTCAGTCCAGTCAGTCAAAGTCATGGGCCAGCCGCCAAACTGGGAGAGCAGGTCAGTCAACGGCGCCACGCCAATGGTCTCCAGCAGCTGTTCGTTAATACAAGCCGCATAAAACGTTTTGGCTTGATTAATGGGCTTGGGGTCATCTGGGTTCTGTGCCTCCGACAGGATGCCGCTGAGGGCATTGCTGAGTTCCCTGTCAAGAAGGTCAAACTGGCCCCATCTCGATGCTTCCTCAGGCACTGGGTTCTGCTCTATCCAGCCGCCACAAGCAAACTGATAGAAGTCCTGACAAGGGTCAATGGTGGCATCCATCGCCTCGATGATGGAGGCGGCCGCCAGAGTACACTCCACACTGCTGCAGATGTCAAAGTCGGCCCCTTGGTCGGTGCGCGCGTGGTACACTGGCAGTCGGGTCGACTTCTTCTTCCCCGAGGACGTCGGGTTCTTGACTGATGTCGGGACATCCCGCGCCTCCTGTGGTGATGGCTGGACCAGTGCGTGCCTGAGGACATCAGTCATCCACTCAGCTTACACCGTCGCCAAGTTTGTTTACATATTATAGTACCCTGTGACATGATTATTGTCCCCTGTGACATGAACATTGTCCCCTGTGACATGAACATTGTCCCCTGTGACATGTCTCACAACAGCACTGGAAGAGTGTCCCCCCGCCCCCCAGCCCAGGACACCACCTTCCAGTTGTATATATTGATAGATACATCGAAAAAATGATTCATGATTCATGGTGTAATGTAATATGTTCATTACACTCTGTAATGTACATTTTATATCGTATAATGCAATGTAAATGATTCACAGGACACACACACACACACACACACACATAATATATATATATATATATATATATATATATATATATATATATATATATATATATATATATATATATATATATACTAACGTAAAAATGTTGTCTTAATGATTCTAACACAAATCTTTATGTTTCTTATGTTCTTCATAACTTGGGAAGAGGAAAAAATAAGTTCCATAAGTTCATCATACACATATAATGAGCCTGGCAGGTTAGGCTAGAGGACGCGCCTAGCATCATCAGAGGCAGAAGGAAACTGGACACAATGAGACAGAGTGGCTCTTAGGGAAGCAAGTTATGTCTTGCTTTTGTATTTTGTTGGTCCATCCACTCGGAGTGGTCGGTGGAGCAACTGGACACAATGAGACAGAGTGGCTCTTAGGGAAGCAAGTTATGTCTTGCTTTTGTATTTTGTTGGTCCATCCACTCGGAGTGGTCGGTGGAGCAAATAAAAATGAAAAAAAAATGAAAATAAATTTGGGATTTTTTTTTCAACAACAGTAAGTTAAGGGTCCTCTGATAGGTTAGGTGGGCAGGAAATTCTCATAAAGTTTCAAAACGTTATGAAAAACGTTAATTGAAAGTTCCTCTTCTAAGCTGTCCGAGGAGGGCCGGACGACTCAAACAGAAAACGGAACAGTACGTCACTTTTGTGAGTCGATTTCATTTCAAATTACGTCCAAATTTGCCCATAGAGAGCATACGAGCCAAAAGTGACGTTAGTTTTAAGAGGACGGGTTGAAACCTGTCCTCTTAAAAGAACGTCGCTTTTGGCCGTTTGCCCGTATGGCCGAATATGGACGTAATTTGAAAATGAAAAAAAAATGAAAATAAATTTGGGATTTTTTTTTCAACAACAGTAAGTTAAGGGTCCTCTGATAGGTTAGGTGGGCAGGAAATTCTCATAAAGTTTCAAAACGTTATGAAAAACGTTAATTGAAAGTTCCTCTTCTAAGCTGTCCGAGGAGGGCCGGACGACTCAAACAGAAAACGGAACAGTACGTCACTTTTGTGAGTCGATTTCATTTCAAATTACGTCCAAATTTGCCCATAGAGAGCATACGAGCCAAAAGTGACGTTATTTTTAAGAGGACGGGTTGCTCTGCAAGGTCGGCGTTCGATTACCGATTGCTGAAGAGGCTGCTGGCACCGTTCCCAGCGCCTCGTCCTCAGTCCCACTACTACTAAGTGCTATATAGTTACACTGGCTCAACGGTTCTCTTCATAATTATCTGACCTTGTAAGGTAATTACACCAAGCGTAATTACCCCCCCCCAGCTTACACCAAATGTCTAAACCAAAGATGCCCAACCACTTGGGCTGGACGGTTGAGCGACGGTCTCGCGTTTTGCAGGTCGGCGTTCAATCCCCGACCGTCCAAGTGGCTGGGCACCATTTCCTTCCCCCGCCCCATCCCAAATCCTTATCCGATTGTAAGTTGAGAACGAAGCCAACTGTACTACTGGGACCCTCTTCCTCACACCTACACACATACTGTAGTATTTGCCCATTTGAATCCACTCTTTTCCCTCTGCCTCTGAGGGTGCTAAGGCGTACTTTAGCGAAACAACCGTCCGTCCACGCGAGTGTGGAGGATGAGACGTACCTGTCAACCTGCTCACTGTCAGACGGGACCCCGGAGCTCCCGACGGCCACCACGCCGACGAGGGCGACGCACGCGACCACAGCCACCAGGGACACCCCCAGCAGCGCCTTCTCCAGGGACGTCCTCCGGCGCCACACGGCCCCGACGCCTTCTCCAGGACTCCTGGTCTCCACCAGCACCTCCTCGCTCCTGCCACACTCCATCACCCTGCCGGAGAGCAGCGCCACCACACAGTAAGTCATCTATCCCACACATCACCACTGAGTCCTTTATTGCACTTGCCTTGTATAGCCTTGTACAGACTTGTATAGCCTTGTACAGCCTTGTACAGCGGTGCACAGCCTTGTACAGACTTGTACAGCGGTGCACAGCCTTGTACAGACTTGTATAGCCTTGTACAGCCTTGTATAGCCTTGTACAGCCTTGTATAGCCTTGTACAGACTTGTATAGCCTTGTACAGCCTTGTATAGCCTTGTACAGACTTGTATAGCCTTGTACAGCCTTGTATAGCCTTGTACAGCCTTGTATAGCCTTGTACAGACTTGTATAGCCTTGTACAGCCTTGTATAGCCTTGTACAGACTTGTATAGCCTTGTACAGACTTGTATAGCCTTGTACAGCCTTGTATAGCCTTGTACAGACTTGTATAGCCTTGTACAGCCTTGTATAGCCTTGTACAGCCTTGTATAGCCTTGTACAGCCTTGTATAGCCTTGTACAGACTTGTATAGCCTTGTACAGCCTTGTATAGCCTTGTACAGACTTGTATAGCCTTGTACAGACTTGTATAGCCTTGTACAGACTTGTATAGCCTTGTACAGACTTGTATAGCCTTGTACAGACTTGTATAGCCTTGTACAGACTTGTACAGTGTTGCACAGCCTTGCACAGCCTTGTACAGCCTTGTACAGCGTTGCACAGCCTTGCACAGCGTTACATTGACTTGCAGAGCGTTGCATAGACTTGAGTAGCCTTGCATGGCATTGTATAGCCTAGCGTTGCGGTGCATAATCTTGCATAGCCTTGCGTAGCCTTGCGTAGCGTTGTATATAATTGTATAGCCTTACACAGCGATCCAAGGTGGTTGAACACAATATATTGTAACTTTAAAAAGATTCAAACGGCAGAAATGTTCGGAGTTATGTTCACTAGCAGTTAAGACGGTTGAGAGTCATCTTCACTAACAGTTAAGATGGTTGAGAGTCATCTTCACTAGCAGTTAAGATGGTTGAGAGTCATCTTCACTAACAGTTAAGACGGTTGAGAGTCATCTTCACTAACAGTTAAGATGGTTGAGAGTCATCTTCACTAACAGTTAAGATGGTTGAGAGGCATCTTCACTAACAGTTAAGACGGTTGAGAGCCATCTTCACTAACAGTTAAGACGGTTGAGAGCCATCTTCACTAGCAGTTAAGACGGTTGAGAGCCATCTTCACTAGCAGTTAAGATGGTTGAGAGCCATCTTCACTAACAGTTAAGATGGTTGAGAGCCATCTTCACTAGCAGTTAAGATGGTTGAGAGCCATCTTCACTAGCAGTTAAGACGGTTGAGAGCCATCTTCACTAGCAGTTAAGATGGTTGAGAGCCATCTTCACTAGCAGTTAAGATGGTTGAGAGCCATCTTCACTAGCAGTTAAGATGGTTGAGAGCCATCTTCACTAGCAGTTAAGACGTGTTATAAGATTGTTTGATGCTCATTCGGAAAAAAACAATGACTTCACTGGAAATTGTCTGTTAATGCAGAATTATATGAGAGATAGAGAGAGAGAGAGAGAGAGAGAGAGAGAGAGAGAGAGAGAGAGAGAGAGAGAGAGAGAGACAGAGAGAGAGAGACAGAGAGACAGAGAGAGAGAGAGAGAGAGAGAGAGAGAGAGAGAGAGAGAGAGAGAGAGAGAGAGAGAGAGAGAGAGAGAGAGAGAGAGACAGAGAGAGAGAGACAGAGAGACAGAGAGAGAGAGAGAGAGAGAGAGAGAGAAGAGAGAGAGAGAGAGAGAGAGAGAGAGAGAGAGAGAGAGAGAGAGAGAGAGAGAGAGAGAGAGAGAGAGAGAGAGAGAGAGAGAGAGAGAGAGAGAGAGAGAGAGAGAGAGAGAGAGAGAGAGAGAGAGAGAGAGAGAGAGAGAGAGAGAGAGAGAGAGAGAGAGAGAGAGAGAGAGAGAGAGAGAGAGAGAGAGAGAGAGAGAGAGAGAGAGAGAGAGAGAGAGAGAGAGAGAGAGAGAGAGAGAGAGAGAGAGAGAGAGAGAGAGAGAGAGAGAGAGAGAGAGAGAGAGAGAGAGAGAGAGAGAGAGAGAGAGAGAGAGAGAGAGAGAGAGAGAGAGAGAGAGAGAGAGAGAGAGAGAGAGAGAGAGAGACAGAGACAGAGAGAGACAGAGAGAGAGAGAGAGAGAGAGAGAGAGAGAGAGAGAGAGAGAGAGAGAGAGAGACAGAGAGAGACAGAGAGAGAGAGAGACAGAGAGAGAGAGAGACAGAGAGAGAGAGAGAGAGAGAGAGAGAGAGAGAGAGAGAGAGAGAGAGAGAGAGAGAGAGAGAGAGAGAGAGAGAGAGAGAGAGAGAGAGAGAGAGAGAGAGAATAAAACTGGTGTTTAGCAAACATATAGGAAGAGTTTCTACCTTAAAAACAAAATATAACTTGGCATATACCACATACGTACTTATTAATCAGTCAAATAGTGACTACAATCAATAAGTCATATATGTACTGTCTTGTGCGAGAGCCTGGGGGGGGGTATATATGGAGTGTATGGGCACTCCCCCCCCCAGCCTCTGAGCACCCCCCCCCCCCCAGCCTCTAGGCATGACGAGAAGGCACCACTAAGATAAACAGTCCTCCCCCTCCCCCCCTCTTACTGAACTTGAGATTGTTATATTAACGACAAAAAAGTTAAGAGGATTGTAAGACAATCAGACAAATTGATAACAACCTCTTATACACATCTCTCACGTGGGAGATAATATCTCTCACGTGAGAGATATTATCTCTCACGTGAGAGATAATATCTCTCACGTGAGAGATATTATCTCTCACGTGAGAGATAATATCTCTCACGTGAGAGATATTATCTCTCACGTGAGAGATATTATCTTTGAGAGAAAACATAAACAACAGTTAGTTAGTTTAGTTCATTTATTATGCACCCCATACCCATCTTGTGGGCGGTAGTGGAAAGGGTTACAGAGGCACATAATGGGCTCAGGGACTGAACCCCACAATTCATTTAGCTAAGCAAGTTACAATCTTGATGAGCTAGTTACAAAATTCAATATAAGTCGTCACATCAACAATGGGTTCGAGATCGACCTCAAGTACAGGTTCTAAATTAAGCAACTGACATATGTGGAGAGCCAGTGTCAAAATTGATATGTTTGTCCTGCACACCGCCCCCCATCCAGTGGGCAGCGGTGGATAGGTTACACCGCCCCCCCATCCAGTGGGCAGCGGTGGATAGGTTACAATCACTTAGTTACTACCTACAGTTAGCAAACTGGGGATATTTGGCTAAAATTTCTGGTAGCAGATCATTTTGAATGAAATATTTACACATCGCTGGAACATTGGTTATAGAATTGTCTCTAAATTCACGTATCTTTTCGCACTCCATCACATAGTGACGGAGGGTGTGCGAATAATTTTGTTGACACAGTTTACATTTGGTCAGGTCTACATCAGCAGATAATGAGAATTCCCAGAGATACTTGTAACCGAGTCTAAGCCGAGCAGCAGTAACATCTAGAAGTCTGCTGATTTTATTGGATGATCCATAGATGTGTGGCTCCTCTTGCATGATAGTATGATGATAGATGGAATTACTGGTGTCAATTTCACTTTGCCTCAGATCTACAAGATCTTGTTGAAGTTCTCGGTGTACTGCTGCTCTCAGATTGCTCATTGACAATCCAAGGTTACACTCAACGGCTCCTTTAAAGGCAGATTCTTTGGCTAACTTATCAGCTCTATCATGCATTCGGAGGCCAACATGAGATGGAGACCACATGAAATGGACTCTGTTACCATCCTTAATAATTTTGTTGTATTTGTGTCTAGCTTCGGACACGAGCATGTTACAGTTATGTCTTAAAGAGTTGAGAGCAGTTAAGGCTGATAAAGAGATAACATAACATAAACAACAGAAAACAGGATTACTGAAGGACTGAGGTCGGCGAAGTGCCTCATAGTTCACATATACCAGGGGACGGGATTCACCAAGCACTTACGAACGTGTACATCTTTCCTCAATCTTTGACGGCTTTGGTTACATTTATTAAACACTTTACAAACATGAAAACGTCAAAGTCAACTGTTGATATTGTTATAAACAGCCTCCTGGTGCTTCCGAGCTCATTAACTGTTTAATAATGGTAAACAAAGCCGCCAAAGATTGAGAAAAGATGTACAGGTTCGTAAGTGCTTGCGTAACTGCTTCATGAATCTGGCTCCAGTTTACCTGAGGGGTCAAGGGGCCACCATCATATCTCCTCGTGGCCTCGATAAAATCTCGTCGAGGAAGCCGGCGGCTTGTCAACGATATCTTGTCGAACTTATCATGTCTATATATCAGGGGGCTATATATATATATATGTATATCCCCTGCCTGGTAGCCTGGTTGAGCCTGATGCTTTCTGACAACGACGAGAGTCCTCTTAACTCCTCCATATTCTCAGAGTAAGTATAAGGACGTCATGGCTGGTCCTGCCCGGCCATTGGTCGCCAGCAACATCAAGTTAGTGACGTCATGGCTGGTCCTGCCCGGCCATTGGTCGCCAGCAACATCAAGTTAGTGACGTCATAGCTGGTCCTGGCCGGCCATTGGTCGCCAGCAACATCAAGTTAGTGACGTCATAGCTGGTCCTCGCCAGCCATTGGTCGACAGAATTAGCATTGTAAATAGCATCCTTTGGCCTAGTGGGTAACATCCACCACCACGCCCCGCCCAGGTTCGAGCCCCGGGCCGCCTCGGAACATAAAACACCTAGCACTAACTATACACAAGCACCGTGTTAGCTAGACTCGTGGGTGTAAACCTCAAGGCCAATCGTGTTCCAGGGCAAACAACGGGATAATTAACCCAACAGGTTCCAGGTCCTGGTTCGAATCCTGAATCCTCACACAGTTGATCCAACTCGTCGCAGTTGATCAGAATAACATCTAGGGGAATCAGAGGTCTTGGAGGATCCAATGGCTTATCCTTGAACGAGGTACATATTTAGTCTGTCTGTTATCCCTTCATCAAGTTACACCCCTATCCTTCTCCGTGGACAGTTGATCACTAGATCCATCCTTCCTGTCCACCAGATTCTGTCCACTGACCTCTGTCCTCTAATGTCTGACTTCTGAGTTCTGTCATCTGAGTTCTGTCTTCTGAGTTCTGACTTCTGAGTTCTGACTTCTGAGTTCTGAGTTGTGACTTCTGAGTTGTGACTTCTGAGTTGTGACGTCTGAGTTGTGACTTCTGAGTTCTGTCATCTGAGTTCTGTCATCTGAGTTCTGACTTCTGAGTTCTGTCTTCTGAGTTCTGTCATCTGAGTTCTGACTTCTGAGTTCTGTCATCTGAGTTCTGTCTTCTGAGTTCTATCCAATCTCTCTTCAGTAAAGAGGAGAGGTATTCACTCAGAGGTATACCTCAGCTCCTCTTAGTTAACACCGTAAACTTAGACTTTACGTTACATTTGTATTGTATTCAGAACTGATGAATACTCTGCTGGTTGGTCTTAATAACCCTCCAGAGACTGACAGACCATCATAACCCTCCAGAGACTGACAGACCATAATAACCCTCCAGAGACTGACAGACCATAATAACCCTCCAGAGACTGACAGATCATAATAATAATCCCAACACCAAAACCCCAAAAGAATGCATTTGAACGATGGTGCTGAACTCCCGCTGACGCCCGGGAAACAATGCAGAACCAGACGACAATAAAGTCAACAACAACAACAATGAAACAAATGAGGATCAGTTTGTTGACCAGATAGCTCACCTGCCGTTAACTAGAAGGTGTAGAAGAGGCCAGGTGACCACCACACTCACCTAAGCTGACTCAGGGGTGGTTATAAGGCCCTTGTACTTATACTCCAGATAAGATGAACTCCATAGACCGCCTCAAGGTGTTATCTGGAATTGTTATCTCTGTGTATATCTCTTCATTAAAAAGATAATACTAGGGGAAGGTGATCTTGCTTGACTGTATGGAAGTGTATAGCGTGTGTATGATGTATCAGGTGCTGTATAAATGCCCAGACCTGCTTGGACCCACAACACACACATATTCACATTAATTATATATATATATATATATGTCGTACCTAATAGCCAGAACGCACTTCTCGGCCTACTATACAAGGCCCGATTTGCCTAATAAGCCAAGTTTTCCTGAATTAATATATTTTCTCTAATTTTTTGCTTATGAAATGATAAAGCTACCCATTTCATTATGTATGAGGTCAATTTTTTTTTATTGGAGTTAAAATTAACTTAGATATATGACCGAACCTAACCAACCCGACCTAACCTAACCTAACCTATCTTTATAGGTTAGGTTAGGTTAGGTACCCGAAAAAGTTAGGTTAGGTTAGGTTAGGTAGGTTAGGTAGTCGAAAAACAATTAATTCATGAAAACTTGGCCTATTAGGCAAATCGGGCCTTGCATAGTAGGCTGAGAAGTGCGTTCTGGCTACTAGGTACGACATATATATATATATATATATATATATATATATATATATATATATATATATATATATATATATATATATATATATATATATATATATATATATATATATATTATATATATATATATATATTAGTATATTTTGGTAGCAGTCTTTCCTGTAGACATATATTATTAAATATGACCGAAAAAGTAAGATTAATAATTCTAACACGAATTTTCTCAATCTTTCGTACATTACGCTTCACTGTTGGAGGTAAATCAAAAATCACTTCTCCAAAATTCATTTTTATTTCTAGTCTGACGCGACACGGGCGCGTTTTGTAAAACTTATTACATTTTCAAAGACTTCACAAATACACAACTGATTAGAACTTGCGTTTCTCTGATTTTATATCTACATTTGAGTGAGGTGGGAAGGGTGATGTGGCATTAACACAAGACAGAACAATAGGGGATATTAATAGGGTATTAAAAGTATCAACACAAGACAGAACAGAAACAATGGGTATTGAATAGAAGTGTTTGTAGAAAGCTTATTGGTCCATATTTCTTAATGCTTCTATATTGGAGCGGAGTCTTGAGGTGGGTAGAATATAGTTGTGCAATAATTGGCTGTTGATTGCTGGTGTTGACTTCTTGATGTGTAGTGCCTCGCAAACGTTAAGCCGCCTGCTATCGCTGTATCTATCGATGATTTCTGTGTTGTTTACTAGGATTTCTCTGGCGATGGTTTGGTTATGGGAAGAGATTATATGTTCCTTAATGGAGCCCTGTTGCTTATGCATCGTTAAACGCCTAGAAAGAGATGTTGTTGTCTTGCCTATATACTGGGTTTTTTGGAGCTTACAGTCCCCAAGTGGGCATTTGAAGGCATAGACGACGTTAGTCTCTTTTAAAGCGTTCTGTTTTGTGTCTGGAGAGTTTCTCATGAGTAGGCTGGCCGTTTTTCTGGTTTTATAGTAAATCGTCAGTTGTATCCTCTGATTTTTGTCTGTAGGGATAACGTTTCTATTAACAATATCTTTCAGGACCCTTTCCTCCGTTTTATGAGCTGTGGAAAAGAAGTTCCTGTAAAATAGTCTAATAGGGGGTATAGGTGTTGTGTTAGTTGTCTCTTCGGAGGTTGCATGGCTTTTCACTTTCCTTCTTATGATGTCTTCGATGAAACCATTGGAGAAGCCGTTATTGACTAGGACCTGCCTTACCCTACAGAGTTCTTCAGAGTGAAGAACTCTGTAGGGTAAGGCAGGTCCTAGTCAACAAGGGCTTCTCCAATGGTTTCATCGAAGACATCATAAGAAGGAAAGTGAAAAGCCATGCAACCTCCGAAGAGACAACTAACACAACACCTATACCCCCTATTAGACTATTTTACAGGAACTTCTTTTCCACAGCTCATAAAACGGAGGAAAGGGTCCTGAAAGATATTGTTAATAGAAACGTTATCCCTACAGACAAAAATCAGAGGATACAACTGACGATTTACTATAAAACCAGAAAAACGGCCAGCCTACTCATGAGAAACTCTCCAGACACAAAACAGAACGCTTTAAAAGAGACTAACGTCGTCTATGCCTTCAAATGCCCACTTGGGGACTGTAAGCTCCAAAAAACCCAGTATATAGGCAAGACAACAACATCTCTTTCTAGGCGTTTAACGATGCATAAGCAACAGGGCTCCATTAAGGAACATATAATCTCTTCCCATAACCAAACCATCGCCAGAGAAATCCTAGTAAACAACACAGAAATCATCGATAGATACAGCGATAGCAGGCGGCTTGACGTTTGCGAGGCACTACACATCAAGAAGTCAACACCAGCAATCAACAGCCAATTATTGCACAACTATATTCTACCCACCTCAAGACTCCGCTCCAATATAGAAGCATCAAGAAATATGGACCAATAAGCTTTCTACAAACACTTCTATTCAATACCCATTGTTTCTGTTCTGTCTTGTGTTGATACTTTTAATACCCTATTAATATCCCCTATTGTTCTGTCTTGTGTTAATGCCACATCACCCTTCCCACCTCACTCAAATGTAGATATAAAATCAGAGAAACGCAAGTTCTAATCAGTTGTGTATTTGTGAAGTCTTTGAAAATGTAATAAGTTTTACGAAACGCGCCCGTGTCGCGTCAGACTAGAAATAAAAATGAATTTTGGAGAAGTGATTTTTGATTTACCTCCAACAGTGAAGCGTAATGTACGAAAGATTGAGAAAATTCGTGTTAGAATTATTAATCTTACTTTTTCGGTCATATTTAATAATATATATATATATATATATATATATATATATATATATATATATATATATATATATATATATATATATATATATATATATATGTTGTACGTAGTAGCCAGAACGCAACACTCAGCCTACTATGCAAGGCTTGATTTGCCTAATAAGCCAAGTTTTCCTGAATTTATATATTTTTCAAATTATTTTCTTATATAAATAATAAAGCTATCCATTTCACTATGTATGAGTAATATTTTTTAATTTGAGTTAAAACTAACGTAGATATATGACCGAACCAACCAACCCTACCTAACCTAACCTAACCTAACCTAACCTAACCAACCCTACCTAACCTAACCTAACCTAACCTAACCTAACCAACCCTACCTAACCTAACCTAACCTAACCTAACCTAACCAACCCTACCTAACCTAACCTAACCTAACCTAACCTAACCTAACCTAACCTAACACAATTAGGTCAATAACTTATGTTCTTATTATAATATAATAATAATAATTCAAATAAACTAATTAGAAACAATTTATTGAAAATAAAGAAAATCACTCGGCCTATTAGGCAAATCGGGCTTTGTATAATAGGCTGAGAAGTGCGTTCTGGGTACTAGGTACATATATATATATATATATATATATATATATATATATATATATATATATATATATAAATATATATAATATATATATATATGTCGTACCTAGTAGCCAGAACGCACTTTTTGGACTACTATGCAAGGACCGATTTGCCTAATAAGCCAAGTTTTCCTGAATTAATATGTTTTCTCTAATTTTTTTCTTATGAAATGATAAAGCTACCCATTTCATTATGTATGAGGTCAACTTTTTGTTATTGGAGTTAAAATTAACGTAGATATATGACCGAACCTAACCAACCCTACCTAACCTAACCTAATCTATCTTTATAGGTTAGGTTAGGTTAGGTAGCCGAAAAAGTTAGGTTAGGTTAGGTTAGGTAGGTTAGGTAGCCGAAAAACAATTAATTCATGAAAACTTGGCTTATTAGGCAAATCGGGCCTTGCATAGTAGGCTGAGAAGTGCGTTCTGGCTACTAGGTACGACATATATATATATATATATATATATATATATATATATATATATATATATATATATATATATATATATATATATATATATATATATATGTCGTACCTAATAGCCAGAACGCACTTCTCAGCCTACTATTCAAGGCCCGATTTGCCTAATAAGCCAAGTTTTCATGAATTAATGTTTTTTCGTCTACCTAACCTACCTAACCTAACCTAACCTAGCTTTTTTTGGCTACCTAACCTAACCTTACCTATAAATATAGGTTAGGTTAGGTTAGGTAGGGTTGGTTAGGTTCGGTCATATATCTACGTTAATTTTAACTCCAATAAAAAAAAATTGACCTCATACATAGAGAAAAGGGTTGCTTTATCATTTCAAAAGAAAAAAATTATAGTAAATATATTAATTCAGGAAAACTTGGCTTATTAGGCAAATCGGGCCTTGAATAGTAGGCTGAGAAGTGAGTTCTGGCGACTAGGTACGACATATATATATATATATATATATATATATATATATATATATATATATATGTCTTAACTTCATTACTAACTACCGAGTAACTATTTACTGCTAGGAGAACAGAGGCATTAGGTGAAAACAAAACGCGTCCAACCACTTTTATCCCTAACCCCGGGGAATTGAACCAGGCCCGGAGGGGAAGGGGGGGGAAGGGAGGGGGGGCGTGTCCCCCCAGATTACGAGCCGAGAACGAAGCCAGCTGCCCCGCGAGCCCCTCCCCCCCCCCCTTTATCTCTGGGTAAGCCCCCAAGGTCACCTGAGATACGGATATCTCTACGTGTCTCTGGCCCCCTTGGCCTTGCTGATGGCAGGTTAACTGCCGCTTCTGAGGAAGCCTCAAATTCACCAATCTAGCTGGTGGATTTAAATCTTAAATCTTAGCTTAAATCCGCCATCGAAGCGATAATTGTTCCTAGAAATAAATGTGTGGTGGTTGGGTTCGTGAGCCCCGGCTGTGTGCCCGGGGCAACAGGTGTAAACATTGTGTAATGTTGCAACATTACTGGTTTAAACATTTATGCAAAATGTTTAAAATTCGGAATTTGTTTTATTTGAGAGAAACATCTGGGGCTTATTACAT